TACACACCTACACACACACTATTACACACCTACACACACACCATGACACACACACACACACCTACACACACACACTATTACACACCTACACACACACTATTACACACCTACACACACACACCTACACACACACCATTACACACCTACACACACACTATTACACACCTACACACACACCATTACACACCTACACACACACTATTACACACCTACACACACACACTATTACACACCTACACACACACACCATGACACACACACCTACACACACACACACTATTACACACCTACACACACACCTACACACACACACAATGACACACCTACACACACACTATTACACACCTACACACACACACCTACACACACACACAATGACACACCTACACACACGCCATTACACACCTACACACACACTATTACACACCTACACACACACACCATGACACACACACACACCTACACACACACATTATTACACACCTACACACACACGCGCACACAAATGCCGAGAAGAGTGGCACAGCGAGGACCTTTAACAAGCGCCGCGAGGTGGAAAGCCACCGCCCCCCCCCCCCAGCATCATCGCTCGCGAACCCAGCTGGTGCGGCGTCGGCACCGCCCCAACAACAACAACCAACAACAATCTGTAGCCACCTGTCCGTCGGCGACCCCTTTGGCCCGCGTCTGACGGTTCGGACGACGCCCCCTGCGTCTCCCCATCCTTGGCGAGGGGCACCCCGGGCGTTTAGCCTCGCTCGTCACCCGCCAACAACGCGTGCGTGCGTGTGTGCGTGCGTGTGTTGCACAGGTAAATAAATATACACGTGTACACACACATACACGGAGACACGGGTTCGATTCCCGCTCACGGCCAACACCAGTGACGATATATTTGAACCAATCCTGGGCCTCCCCTAGGTCGACTCAGCGCCACTGGGGGAGACAAAGGCGGTCGGGCGTGGTGCTGGCCACCCACCCCCTCGTGTACCGTTCCGGCCTTCATAGGTGCTCGCTAACAGCACTTGCCCCTACAGTCTGTTAAGGCTAAATGGGGGATCTTTGTCTTCATCTTTGTGTGTGTATGTTGAACTTCTTTCGCACCGTACGTAGCCAACCGTTCTAATCGGAGGTGCGGGGGAAAACTCATTTCGAAAGAAATGAGTTTTAAAAGTGCATAGCTCCAGTGGCTTCCTAATATCGGAAGGAAGAGCGTTCCAGACGGCCGCAGAAGGCGCATCTGGAAAAGCGCGCGATGTTGTTGCTGTCCAAATGTTTAAAATATATCAATATTGAACACACACGGCATACGCATACATACTATTGTTGAAATCGCACCAAGACAACCATCGCAGGTATGGGCCTTTACAGAACTGTTGGTGCAAGTACTATTATTATCTCGTAGCAACTATGGAGTCCGGCAAAGTACACGTGGGGGTGGATGGCTTGGTGGCCGGCACCGCCCCCGGCCGCCTTTGTCCCTCCACTGGCGATGTTTACACACCGCACCAGATGCTCGTATGAGGATGAGTCGATCTTGGTATCGGCAATCGTCACTGATGTAGGGACCGTGAGCAGGATCCGAACTCGAATCGTAACGCAGCGCGCTAACCGCTTCCACACACAAAGACAGTGCAAGTGTTGTTACTGAGCCCCTGTGCGGACTGGCACGGCACACGAGGAGGTGGGTCAGGCCAGCACCACGCCCGGCCGCCTTTGTCTCCCGAGTGGCGATGTTTACACGCACATGCAAGTGCACGTGTGCATTATATATGCAACGTAATTACCAAACTGCTTTTTTATTATTTTACCAGGTAAGGCCCACTGAGTTGCATATATAACGTGAAATAAAAACAAATATCTCACATTCGTCAATAACACCGTGGCCTTAAAAGGAATAAAATGTATAATACTCCACGTTTCGGGCAATGTCCCTTTTTCAGAAGCGACCTGACTCTCACAAATGATAGCGCAACCAAGCTGCTTATTAATGATCATCGTGTGGAAATTTATAGCAGCCACAAGACTCCACACGCGTGATGTCGACTCTAAATGTGCAGGGGGAAAAGCGACCCGGAGACAAATCGACGCGACCACGGGGAGAATATGTTGCTGCGTTCGTAGTGGTACAGAAGCACAAATAGCACACGAGAAGAAACAACAAATAAACACATTCGTCAAAAAAAAACTGTGGTATTGAAAGGACCCAAACATAATAGGCGACGTTTTGGGGGTTTGATCCTTCTTATGGTGTGCTATGAAGAATTGCCTGAAACGTCAAGTATTGTACATTTGATTCTTTTTAAGGCCCACAGTGTTATTGACGAATGTGAAATTTGTTATTCATGTTATATATATCATATAAATATTTCAGAAAATTGGTTCTAAATTGAAAAATTATATTCACAACAACATTAGAATACTGAAGCGTTCCATTTTGGTCTGTTGCGTACGGATGTGAAAGCTGGACAGTAACACAAAGACCCTGCAGAGGAAATTAGACGCAACAGTACCGTCAGCTTTTTAAGGAAGGATGTTATACATTTGACGGACAGGCACAAGATGAGTTGACACGCGAGTTACGGATAGCAGCAGGGTACACAACACGAAAAATTAATGGGAATATTTAGAGAGAAGGGCAAGGCTGCAGCATTGTTGGACATGTAATAATAATTAATCCATCATAAAGTTTTTTTGTTGTTGTTAGATCGCGTACATTTTAATTCCTCTTTAAACCCACCACAGCCCGACACAGCACATTAGTAAGGTTTGTCACGTAACCCTAACGTGCACATTAATTGAGTTTCCATGACAAACTTTACTCATTGGCTGTGTCGGGTAACGACGGGTTTTTAACGACGCATTTAATTTAAAGCGATCTAACAAAAAAAACCGACATTTATTATGGAGTATAATTTCACGTCCAACATTTATATTAACAATTTTAATTTGAAGCTTTCGTGAATGCAGGAATCCATACTCTTTGCTGAATGCAGAAATACATACTCTTTGGTCACGTAGGTGACTTTACCGAAAGAACGTGATCTAACGCGAAAAAAAACTTTATTGTGGAAAATATTGCTAGTGAAAGCCTCCTCCTTCGTGTTAAACCAATTTAATGAGAAACCAAAAGAATGAACAAAAATGTGATTATGACTGGGAGAATTATAGGTAACGCTGTGTGAGTCACGTGGAACACGTGGACACGGACGCACACGTGTACACGTGTCACGCGTGGAACACGTGTACACGTGTCACGCGTGGAACACGGGGGAGGAGTAAATTGGTAAATGCGGAAAAACGCAGCGTGGTGGTGGTCCCGCGAGAACTGGAGTTTGGCAAAGCCAGCCCTAGCCTCACAATGTCCATAGACTAACATTACCCATAGATTAACATTGCCCATAGATTAACATTGCCCATAGATTAACATTGCCCATAGATTAACTTTGCCCATGGATTAACATTGTCCAAAGATTAACATTGCCCGTAGATTAACACCAGGGATGTGATTCCGGACATACAATACCCTGGTGTCTACAAACTAAGTTGCCTCTGTGGTAGTAGTTACATTGGAGAAACCAAACGCCATGTCTCGGACCGCATTCGTGAACACAAAGCAGACCTTAAACACGGTAGGACCAACACCTCGGCCGTAGCAGATCATTGTTCTAATTCAGTAGGCTCACATGCCATTGACTTTTCCAAGACAGAGGTTCTTTGTAAGCCATCTGGCTTCCATGAGAGATTCGTTCATGAGGCTATCCACATATACAAGCACAGAGACAATTTCAACCGAGAAGATGGATTCTATCTTAGCAATCATTGGAAACATTTGATACACCATTTCAGTTCTTAATTGATTGTTCACGCTTACAGTGGCTTTCAGACAGCATACATTATAAACAAATTTCGTCTCCCCCCTCCTCTTTTCAGAATATAGATGGACTAGTCCTGGTAAACTGCCAAATCGCTGCGCGTGGCGCTAACGTTTTTTTTATAAATAAATAAATGGGCCGTTTAAAAATAAATTTATGCAAACCAACACACCTGAAGATGACCGTTTGAGTTATGGTCGAAACGTCGTGAGAATTTTTTATTGTTTTATATATATTATTATTTTGTTGTTTCTCTTCAACGTGACTTTACCGAAAAAACTAAGAATATGAATTACTCATAGACTCACATTACCCATTGACTCACATTACTCATGGACTAACATTACCCATAGACTAACATTGCCCATAGACTAACATTACCCATTGACTCGCATTACCCATAGACTCACATTACCAATAGACTAACACTGCCCATAGACTAACATTGCCCATAGACTTACATTGCCCATAGATTCACATTACCCATAGATTCACATTACCCATAGACTAACACTACCAATAGACTAACATTACCCACAGACTAACATTACCCATAGACTAATATTACCAATAGGCTAATATTACCAATAGACTAACATTACCCATAGACTAACATTACCCATAGACTAACATTACCCATTGACTCACATTACCCATAGACTAACATTACCCATAGACTAACATTACCCATAGACCAACATTACCCATAGACTAGCATTACCCATAGACTCACATTACCCATAGACTAACTTTACCCATAGACTAACATTGCCCATAGATTAACATTGGTCATAGACTAACTTTACCCATAGACTAACATTACCTATAGACTAACATTGCCCATAGACTAACTTTACCCATAAACTAACATTACCCATAGACTAACTTTACCTATAGACTAACATTGCCCATAGACTAACATTACCCATAGACTAACTTTACCCATAGACTAACTTTACCCATAGACTAACATTGCCCAGATACGAACGCATTTTCGAGTAACATCATGTACAGAGCCGAGTGGAAGGAAAACCACACGACCACACCGCACACGTCTCCTAGAGAGTAACGTGGCACACACACACACAGAGAGCTAGCTAGCTGGACGTGCAACCGGTTAGTTACCTTGATGAGCTGTCGCATTGAGAGTGAAATTCCAGGCCGAGTCTCGCCTGCTCGGGGCTGGGGCGTGATGGGAGCGAGCCCTAAGCCGGGGGAGGGAATCGGTCGTAGACGCCTTGATGGGAGGGGGGGGGGGGTGCTCGAGTCTCTTCGCTGCTCACTCGGGGTGGCGCATTTTATACTTGACGCTTGCACCGCAACTCGGTACCACCCACAGACAGCCTCCAAGCCTCACCGCACACTCTTAGCACCCCCACTCCCTCACCACGCACCCCCCCCTCCCTCCCCATCCACCGCCCCCATTACCCCTGTATTATGGCCTCTAACAGACCGTTGGGAGCAAGTGCTGTTATAATCGTTCGAGTTATATTTATTTATTCAAGAAAGCCACGCTGAGTTGCGTAAGACTCTTGGTTCTGGTTTTTTTTTTGGTTTGTCCCAGGAGGGTCCTGCCGCTGTTGCGTTGGGGTTTTATCGTGCGAGGGGATGCAGCACCAGCAGCAGCATCCCCTAGAACGATCTCAAGAAGGTCTGCAATGATTTAATTAAACACCGAGCACACTTTGCACACTCTATACAATACACACGCCTTGCACTGTTGCACACTCTCTGTCTCTCGCTTATACGCAGCCCTACACTGGTTGCAGGCATCCACACAACGCTAGCCGTCTGACACTGACCGAGCTGAACCAAGACAGCCGACTACCGTCTAGCAGCGCGATTATCAAGTGACGACAACAGCGACGAAGGCACGGGACGACCGCGGCGATGGCGACGATCTTCAGCAGCAGCAGCAGCGGCGGCGACCACGACGACAACACCAAAAAACGTGCAAAACTTTCAACAATAACCCCAATCCGCAAGGAATTACACAATACGCGACGACCCCCAGCATGCAACAGCCCGCGAGCGTCGGGAAAGACCCAAAGTCAAACTCAAACAGCGCTCCCGCCAAGTCCAGCATCCTGCTGTGGACGGAGAAAGGCATCACAGCCCCCCGCCCCCCGCCGCCCCCGCAGCACCACCAACCTTTGGCATGCTCTGCTCCCGGCGGCCATCCAAGCGCACAGCCGAAGTAGAGTCCCTCAGTCGGACCCCCCCCGACCAAGGCGCAGGCCGCCTTGAAGTGGCGCAAACACACCGTCCCGTTGCCTCTCGCCGCCCTGAACTCCCAGATGTGAGGCAGGCACCCCTGTAAAGGCAGCGCCCCCCCGCAGACCCCGCCGGTGGCGATTTGAAACTGGCGGGAAAATTTCCCGCTTGCGGCGGACAAAACGGCGGCTACTAATTGCTTTTTTGTCGGTAAAGTCACCGAAAAAAAACCAACGAGTCATTTACGCAGTCACGAAAGCTTTGATTCTTGATTAAAATGGCGGCTGCCCGCGCAGGCGGGAACTCCGCAGTTTCCCGCGCAGGTGCGGCGGCAAAAATCGAGCTGTCCGCCCGCTCTTCCCGTGCTGCGGCATCTCTGGCAGGCGTCGTGGATCCGAGCTGGATGACCAGCTCCGCGGAATGTCAGGTGAGGTCGAGCCACCCCTCTCTCCGACCGACGGCTGCAAGGCGCCGACGTTCCCTGTCCCAGCGCTCCGCTGCTTCTCCGTCCCGGGACGCGTTACCGGAGTCCCAGATTCCGGGGCTGCCAAGGGGGCCGCATCCCCGCCATCCACGTCTCCGGAAGACACGGTCGGTGGTTATTTTTCTTGGCTCACTTTAACATGACAAACACTGATGCCAAATGTAGTGACCGACTTGGCGACGCAACTTCTTGGAGGCAATCCTCGAATTAAACACCGAGCACACTTTGTACGCTTTATACAATACACAGCCTACACTGTTCCACACTCTCTGTCTCTCGCTTAAACGCAACTCTACACTGGTTGCTCGCCTACACACTACAGCTAGCCGTCTGACACTGACGGCGCTAAACCGAGACAGCCAACTACCGTCTAGCAGCGCAATTATCCAGTGGAGATGACAGCGACGAAGGCACGAGATGACGGTGGTGATGGTGACGATCTTCAGCAGCAACGACGACGGGGATGCAACTCCAAACGACAGCCCCGAGCTCCCGCTCGGGGTCCCTTTTAATCCTTCCAGCGTAGCCCCACTCCACCCCGGCCACGCCCCCCTTCTGGAACCTACTAGCGGGCTCTCGATGTGTCCCTTCCGCTACCTTGACCCGAGATCCCTCTCGGGTCTATCACGTGGCCTGCTCTCAGTCAGGGCTGCTACAGGCTGCAGATCCCCTTCCCTGCCAGCAGCTAGCGCTATGTTACTTAGTGACCAATTCCATGTCACTACACTTGTAGTGAGCCAACGCTGCTGAAATGATGCACGCTCTGAGGAGGGGGGCCTTCTGGGTTGACGGGAAGTGGAGAAAATACTTTTGTGTGTTTCGTTTTTTTATGTGGAGGGACAGATATATAGGAAGGAGGCAGAGTCGCCTGCTTTGTGTATTTTGTTACCCATCTGCTGCTCCACGTTGATGCTGATGATTATGATCTGCTCCCGATTATCATGCTGGCCCCCTATGGCAAATCACGGCAGTGACCCCCTAAAGTCTAGGACAGTGGTTCTTAACCTTTACTGCAGCCTTTCACCCGTTTGGTTCTAATTTTTTGTAAAATATATAATATAAATACATACATAGGGGTTTGATCAAACAAAGTAAGTTGTACTTATGTGCCCGTCCTTAATTTGCGTTGTTGATGATTTACCTTCTAAAAAAAGATCTGGCCATATATCGCACCCCCAGAAATGGCATCTCGCCACCCCAGGTTAAGAACCACTGATCTAAGACATCCTAATGACTCTCGCGCCTCCAATACGATACCTTACAAAACAATAATAATTTGTTTACCTCGTGAAAACAGCCACCCTTTGTAGTTTGCACTAAACCAGGGGTTGGCAAATCTGCATGCAGCTCTTTGAGGAACCGCTTAGTGACGCCTACGCATGAAGGACCACCACCGTCTCGTATTCACCACGTGCATTGTGCGGCTCTTGAAGAACCGAGGTCTAAAAAATATATATCTATTTTTGTTGTTTTAGTTGCCAGCCCCCTGCACTGAACTCTCAAACTTTCTTCTCTCTGCCTCTGGCAGGTGGTGGTGGCGGTGGTGGTCGCGGCTACGCACGTGGCATTCCACGCACGTGCACCAGACGCGTTCGAAGAGGTGGGGCGTTGCCCACAATTTTAACCCACCACGATTGGTCGAGCCGTCTACCGTTCGACCAATCGTGGTGCCGCCACTTATACCACTGGGTGAGTGGACGGAGAGCCGGATGACACACACGGTTGGGGGGGGAGGTGGAGATTGAAAAAGTAAGTACCCAAAGTATTCAGGGCAGAATTAAATGAAATCGAAGGAAGGGTTGCGGGTGGGAACCTCTGGATTTGCATGTCCATTCTCCTGCACGGTGTCCATGCCGCGGCCTGCGCCACTCATCACTGGTTGACAAGCGCTCGCCCCGACTCCAATCGTGACCGCGCGGTCTGACGTCACGCCGTTGTCACGGACACGTGACTCGCAGGTGAGGCACAGCCCAGGTGACCTTTAATGACGAACTTTTAAATGTTGCCCTGTTTATTCGCGATGTACGCACGCTCCAGTGATGATGATGATGTCGACGCGAGAACTACGTGAAATGTGGGAGGGAATGTCCGACTGAGCCGAAACCGATGTCATTGCATCTACAGTACGTGTATATATATACACACACACACACAGAGACGATGTCAACTTGTGACGGGCACTGTAATTGGCTCGCTCTCGTCCAGTCGGCGCTACCAACAATCGCCCAAGGTCTGCGGTCCTCTACATATTAATGACGAGTGGGTTTTTTTTTCTGCACGTGGGAAGAACTCGGAGAAACCCCACGAGCGCGAGGTGGGAAACGTTCCATCCCGTGCACAGACTGAAGAGGTAGAGTTCACTTTTTTTAAAAAAAAAATGTGGGCATGTACCCAATTCTCCCCGGCGAGCCGAGGGCTACGGCCTCCAGCCTCGACGCCCACGCGTGAAACGGAATTCCGCAATATTTGTGCCATGATCCACCAACCCCCCCCCACCCCCCCCCCCCCACCTGCCCCCCAGCTGCTGTCTACATCAGTGCCGGATTACATTCTACGCCGTGCGCAGCACTAGCACGGCCATTAATAGATGCGCTGATCCTCAGTTGCTATTAACGAAATGCGTCCCGTCATTTTGGGGGTCTGGGACACGTTAGGCATTCAGAGTGGCCCGTCCGTCGCTTTGTTTCAGAGCTTGAGTTGGACAGGTTCCGTGGAGTTGCCGAGGCGTGCGGTTCGATTCTGACCGGCCGCCCTGGTTATTTAGCCGCGAGTCGCATTGGCCGTGGCAAATGCCTGTTGACCGCTTCGCGGTTTAGAACAACAACAACAGCAACAGCAACACAATGGAAGAAAACATAATCGACGTCATTGAAACGAGTAGGCCATCGTGTGCCCGCGTGATGGTCCAGAAATGTGTTGGAAACATTTCAAAGATATCCGCAAATTGCTCAATCGGGATCATGCGCAGCCAATACAATGCTCCCCTACCGGCGCACGACGTTACCCCTTCGGTGGATAGCGGCGTCTTCCTTCGTCACAGCGCTTGCGCTGCAGGGACGGGGCGAATACCGAATAATGTGACTCGAAACATTTAATCGTCACGATCACCCAGCGTGACACGTCAGACCGTGCGGCCACTATTGGCGTCGGGGCGAGCGCTTCTCAACCCGCGATGAGCGGCGCAGTTTCGCGGCATGGACACCGTGCAGGAGAACGGACACGCAAATTCCCCCCTCCATCCACCATCCACCATCCACCATCCCGCACGTATATCCCGAGCAAGTGTGTGCGGGCAGTGCCGATCATTTTGTTGTCCTTGCCCGCACCTCCGATGAGCACGGTTGGCTACGTACGGCGCGAAATAAGTTCAGCGTACAGCCGTCATCGCTGTAATCGCGACGTGCGTGCAATGATGTGAGCAAACGATTCGGCGACGCTGATGCTGTTGCTGCATTGGTGAACAAACGCACCTAATAAACAAACAAACAACGACGGAAAATTCAACACGTTAGTCAATAAGACAGTGTGTCTTTAAAAATAGAACGATATATATACATACAACAGGCGACGTTTCGGCAAAGTGCTCATCTTCAACACCAGCACACAGAGAGGCCAGAGAGATAGAGCCAATCATATTTATTGGTGTCTTGATGTCTGTATATGCCC